ACCCTTGAGAAAGTCGGGATAGAAGGAACATACTTAAACATCATAAAAGCCATTTATGAAAAGCCCACAGCTAATATCATCCTCAATGGGGAAAAACTGAGAGCTTTCCCCCCGAGATCAGGAACACGACAGGGACATCCACTCTCACTGCTGTTGTTTAACATAGTGTTGGATGTCCTAGCATCAGCAATCAGACAACAAAAGGAAATCAAAGGCATCAAAATTGGCAAAGATGAAGTCAAGCTTTCACTTTTTGCAGACGATATATTATACATGGAAAACCCAACAGACTCCACCAAAAGTCTGCTAGAACTGATACATGAATGCAGCAGTTGCAGGATACGAAATTAACGTACAGAAATCAGTTGCATTCTTATACACTAATAATGAAGCAACACAAAGACAAATAAAGAAACTGATCCCATTTACAAGTGCACCAAGAATCATAAAATACCCAGGAATCAACCTAACCAAAGATGTAAAAGAATTGTATGCTGAAAACTATAGAAAGCTTATGAAGGAAATTAAAGAAGACACAAAGAAATGGAAAAACATTCTGTGCTCATGGATTGGAAGAATAAATATTGTTAAAATGTCAATACTACCCAAAGCTATCTACACATTCAACACAATCCCAATCAAAATTGCACCCCTGCAAATATGGCTGGGGCCATATTTTATTTAGATATATGGCTGTAACCGCAAACAGTTGGAAGAAAAGTAATCATACTCACCTTGCTTATGGATTTGCTTACATTATTAGTATTTATCTGCAAAATATTTCCAACGATTGGCAGAGGAGTGGGGCCAGGTGGTAGCTTCCCTTTGGCATGGTTTTGATTCCAGAGAAAAAAAAGAATCAAACAAGAAAGATAAATCACCAGAACTATGAAAAGATCCATTTTTGTACCTTGTGTAAATGCAGTTGGAAGCTTGGAATCCAAAGGTTTTATAAATACTAAGTTCCAGCTGATCATCAAACATGCACTAAATCTTCAACCTTTTGGATACTTTTTTATCTTCAGTGGATTTTGACCTATTAGCAAAGAGTAAAACAAAAACAGTCACTTTAGTATTGATAAATATCTAGGTTTTCATTGGTAATCCAACTAAAACAGTAACTCTTACTTCTTCAGAGATGGTCATATTTTAACAGTAAAACTGAAAACTATCAGATTTCAAAGGGCTGGAATTCATGATCTTGACAAATGATGAAAGAGAGTATCTCATGTCAAAAATTACTACTACATGAGCAGAAGAAAGCAGCACTCTCTCAGTGCCTTTTCACAGAAAATCCAGGAAAAGGCCAGAATTAAGAGATAGTAGGGAGAAGGCAGGGTAAAAAAGAAGAATATACAGAGCTAGTCTTTCCTAAAGAAGAGTAGAGATATCCCAACTCTTGGCAGAGCCCCTTTCTATATGTCAAGAGTTCTTTTTTTTTTAATTAAAAAATTTTTAATGTTTATTTTTGAGAGAGAGAGAGCGCGTGTGTGTGTATGAGAGTGAGAGAGAGTGAGAGTGAGAGAGAGAGAGAGAGAGAGAGAGCAAGCGAGCACACATGAAGGGGAGGGGCAGAGACAGGAAGATACAGAATCCAAAATAAGCTCCTGGCTCCTAGCTGTCAGCACAGAGCCTAACACGGGGTTTGAACTCACAAATTATGAGATCATGACCTGAGCCTAAGTCTGATGCTTAACCAACTGAGCCACCCAGGTGTCCCAATATATGTGAGGCATTCTGACACACTTAACTCCCAAAGGGGATGCAGGGTCAAAAGACATTAGAAGACAGGGATCTACCAAGTCCAAGAAAGAAATCACTTAAACAGTGGAAGGTCCTTTGGCTGCATATCACCCCTCCTTCCCCTTGTACATCCATTTCCAATGAGGGTCCTATAACCAGAATACATTGCTTAATCTCACGTGGGTAAGGAAATATACTCCAGAATTCAATACTATAAATATTTGAAAGTGTCTAGAAGCTCAAAGATATGAACAAAACTTCAAGACTCAAAATACATTTGAGGAAATCCAACAAGGCACGACAAATATCACACTTAAGAAACGAGAACATGAGAGTGAGATGATCATGGAAGCTGGGGCCAGTCAGGGGGCCCTGAGAAAGGTGGTTTCAGGATGCCGTCCAAAGTCAACGGCAGCGGCTGGAACCCTGGCTCCAGCACAGGGGCCCTACCTGGAACGTCAGATATTTAGCTTCCTGTGGTATACTGATGAGCAGAACTCTTCCACTACATACCTCAGTTTTGCCTAAGGAGATATATGCAAAAACTTTCTTCAAAATTGTTGCACCATTAATAAACAAAAGAATATTTAGAGAGGAGAATTATAGGATATTCTATGCAGAAAATGTATGATGTGGTATCAGGAATGGAAGACTACAAGCATTTTGTTCCTTGGCGTAAAAAATCAGATGTAATATCAAAGAGAACCGGATACTGCAAAACACAATTGGAAATTGGGTTTCCACCTGTGTTGGAGCGCTATACATCAGTAGGAATCTTGGTGAAACCACATTTGGTAAAGGCATCCTATACTGATGGGAAGCTTTTCAATCATTTGAAGACTATTTGGCATTTTAGCCCTGGTCTTCCTGGCTACCCAAGAACTTGTACCTTGGATTTTTCAATTTCTTCTGAATTCCGCTCCCTTCTGTACTCTCAGCTTGCCACATCATTTTTCGATGAAGTTGTAAAGCAGCTGGTAGCTGCCTTTGAAAGAGGAGCATGTCTGGGACCTCATCAAAATAAAAAGCTTCTGCACAGTGAAGGAAACAATCAGCAAAACTAAAAGGCAACCAACAGAATGGGAGAAGATATTTGCAAATGACATATCAGATAAAGGGTTAGTATCCAAAATCTACAAAGAACTTCTCAAACTCAACACCCAAAAAACAAATAATCCCGTGAAGAAGTGGGCAAAAGACATGAATAGACACTTCTCCAAAGAAGACATCCAGATGGCCAACCGACACATGAAAAAATGCTCAACATCACTTGCTCATCATCAGGGAAATACAAATCAAAACCACAATGAGATACCACCTCACACGTGTCAGAATGGCTAACATTAACAACTCAGGCAACAACAGATGTTGGCGAGGATGCGGAGAAAGAGGATCTCTTTTGCATTGTTGGTGGGAATGCAAGCTGGTGCAGCCACTCTGGAAAATAGTATGGGGGTTCTTCAAAAAACTAAAAATAGGGGCGCCTGGGTGGCGCAGTCGGTTAAGCAGCCGACTTCAGCCAG